TAGCGGAGTGTTATGCCAGTCCATCCGGAAACGCGTGTCCAAGAGAGCCCACAGTAAGTGAGATATTAACTGAGAAAGTTGGACACTTGATCCACTCTCAGCTGCGTCGACTGCTCGGTTGAGTGAAACCTTTTGAGGAAGAGTTCAGCAGGCCTGCTGCGACACCACTGTCTGCTGAATCCATTCACTCAACTTGAGAAGTTTATGTCACACATACAACTTGAGTAGAGATTTGATATGAGCCTGCCGTGTTGAAACGAAACAACGCACCTGGATCCGACGACTTTTCTCTATCTTTATTACAAGATGGAGGTGACCCTTCGTTGACTGAGCTTGCTGCCATATTCAACACGATTTAGGACACTAAAGCGGCTTCTTCAGATTGACAGCTGTCAGCTGTAGTGCTTATCTTCAAGAAGGGTTAACGGTCTTTGCGCGAAAATCATCGACGCACTAGCCTACTTTTTGTTGCCTCCAAACGTCTAATTGGTATCCTTCTTCGGCGAGTTACTGGTCCTCGTCAGAGCTGAATCATTTTAACCGGGCTGGCTTCCGCCCTGGTCGTGGTTGCACCGGCCAACTATGTACTGTTCGTTAAGTTTTTGTGCAGATATATGCAAACGAGGGACTATGAAGACTTTCCTTGACCTGGAAGCCATTTTCGACTCTCTTGCTCGCGCAACCTTGTGGCGCTGCTTGTCCGGGAAGCGGGTGCCTGGAAAACTCCTTTCCATTTCGAAGTCTCTTTACCGTTGCTCGCGAGATGGGGTAAGGGTCTACGAGAAGGCGTTTCCTGAGTTCGCCGAGACAAGTGAGGTTTGCATGGGTTGTCTTACGTCCACTTTCTTCTTCAACTTTGTAATCGAAATGATCATGAGTGACTTCGCTCTTTCAGTCACTTCTGGAGTGGAAGCTCTTACAAACCTTAGGCATGTGGACGACAGCTTTCCTTGATTAGGAGGCAATAACTATGCAAACACCTATAAACAGTTTGACGCATAATGCTACACGCTTCGGTATGTGCTTTGCACCTTCAAAGTGCAAAGTGACGTTGCAGAACTGGACCGATGTTCCACCGGCTTTGGCTACCACCGTACAGCCTATAGGAGCAGTGGACCGGTTCAATTGCCTTGGCAACTGTGTCACCTCTTGTGGTCACATCACTGAGGTTGCTTCGCGTATCATCAGGGCCTGTGTGGCTTTCCAAATGCACAACTGGTAGGATATCAGACCGTCAGTGAAATGTAACGTGTTTAACGCTGCGATAGGGCCAGTGTTACTCTATGGATCAGAGACCTGGCCAGTTAGCAAAGTCAACATTTAACACTTGGCCGTGTTTACTCACCGGTCCTTATTGAAAACTTTTCACATCTGCTGAGAACACCGGATGAGCAACGCTGATGTCCATCAGCCGGTTTTTTCAAGAATCCTTCAGGTGCATCACAGGGTTGTCTGTTAAATTTGAACTGCTTATGTTGCTTAGAGCTTGTCTTTCATATGCCTTTTGACCGGCTTCCTCGGTGTGCATTAGATGTCGTGGCTGCACCAAGTTGGGTGAAACCGCGAAGTGGCCAGTCGATGACGTGACATAAGAGCATGAAGAAATTGACAGAGAGACTTGGTCAGGCTGGTGCGTGCGGTTTTCTTGATGGTTCATACCATTGGTTGGAGACTATCTCAGACATGGTGTATTCGCGCAGTCAGTGGCGTACATGGATTCGCTTTCTTGCATCTAACCGTTAATTTTTCATCCCGATTATTTCAACGCACTTTTTGATGCTATTTTTGTGTGTTCTCTTTACCTTCAACGTCGTTTTTTTACTGTTGTCGTTTATTGTTATTCTGGCTATGCGAGTCGGGGCAGTTAGATCCACCACACATCGGATCGTAGTTGTACAGCTGAACCGAACTGAACTGATAGTCCCACTGATGCTTATTAGATTCTTGTGATTGGGAAGAGATCGAAGCAATTATTGGTAACTCAAGTTTGCTAGTTGGTGCGCTCTTGTGTAGCAGAACGTTCGGCCGGTGGCCGAGTGGTCTGCACGTTTGCTTTGCAACCGTAAGGTCACCGGTTCGAATCCGCGTAGGGGTGGGCGTCCTCGCGGTATACTCAGCCCGCGCGCGACTGGTGGTGGTCGCGCGGCAGCGAAGCGCCGTTACGGTGTACAGCTGACACATTATTATTATTATTATTATTATTATTATTATTATTATTATTATTATTATTATGTGTAGCAGAACGAAAGAGGTACGAAGCACTAGTGAGTAGGCATCTGCTAGTCATGTGTGTGCTTAATCGTCTAGGCGAATGATCCGTCAGCACATGTTCCGGTCGCTCGATGGACATTTTACAATCGATGGTCTGGAATTCTTGTTGGACTCACCTGTTCCTCGCCTGCATTAACGATTCTATTCGTCAACTTTTCTGTAGCTACTTTCTGTAGTACTCTTTGTTTCCAGGTCTGGGTTTTACTTTTTCAGCCTCCATGCAGTGTTACTAGTTATTGCACATTGTCCTGCGCCCTTCTCATGGACTTCCTGGCGCTCTTCCCTCTCCTTATGCTCTGACTGAAAGGGAACACTGGCCCTCCTGATATACATGAGTTTTTCGGCTATTCTGTTTCCCTAAGTGGTGCGACTGTTTTAATTAAGCAAACCGACCAACTGCTTTGGGCGCTAACTGGCCGTGTGAATCTCGTCTTACACTGGTATTTTTCTTTTTAAAGGTACGAATGTTACGGTTAAAAATTATAGTTTGACCTCATTAGGATGGCTCAGATTTCAAGAAGACTGGATAGCGTAAAGTTCGGTGGGAACATATCTAGACAGACACTAGCAGTGCTTCTCAATAGTGCATGCTTTTAACCATGGGCTTGACCATCAGCAAATTGTTGACCCACATTGAAATCGACAAAGCGCATTCACGTACAGTGCATGTGGTAATGCGGTTGATTCATTTTGCCGAACAGCAACCGATCATTTAGGTTTGTTTCGCCACGTGTTTTAGATGAGAATAAAGGCAATCGCACGTTTCTTTAAAGTCGACGTGTTGCAGCCAAATATACACGATAAATACCAAGTCGTTTAATGATCAGTGCACTTTGATTAGGTTTTAGCATGCATTCTATATTGGAGGGCCACACCACTTTCATGTCGTCCAAGTAAAACAGCGCTATATCAGTACTTTTTACCTTTAACAGCCATAACGATTCTCAATGAGGAATAAGAAGGTGAGAACATGATCTGACGTGAAGCTTTAAGCGCGCTGATCATCTATTCCACCTGCACTTTTCCATCAACGCATGGTCAAATATACAACTAACCATCTCTCGAATGAAGCCTCAACAATATTACTTCCTTCCGGGCTTCACCACCACCACCTATCAATATCATCCTGCTTTCACGGATAACTTGACACCATCTGTGTTTTAGCCAGACAGTCTGACTATGAGACCACTGCAGCCAGACCATTGATGCCGGCTGCAGGCTGTGTTGTAGCCTGAGCCATGCGCAGGATGGTTCACGCATACCCTAATCTAGAAGATGAAACGAACCAACGGCGCGCAGTCTAGTGACAAATAACTTTATTTCCTGATGCCGAATCAACAGCTTCTTCGATCGAACATCTAGTATGTGAAACATGATCTTCCCTGCTCAGCGGCCGGGAGGCACACGTCGTGGTACATGCCCGAACTAACGAAACTTGCTGTTTTTCTATGTACCTAACCAACTAACGTGATCGCCGCATACTTCTGTCTATGCACCGTATCGTTGCGAGCACGATGGCGCCAATCGACAGCGGCAACGCCTCCACAATCGATGATCAAACCTTCGGCGGCGCTACCATATATCACAGTAAGGACAGAAGAACTCTCACTGCCGCCGTGTAACCGCAACGTTTGCAAGGCTGTTGACCAATGAGTTACTTCTGAAAGTGCTTCACCGAACGAGGGAGGTCGTGTGCCTTCCTGTGAATTGTTGTGCCGGTGCTATCACTATTTACCTCATCGCTTCGTGAATTTTTACGACTAGCTGCAGTATGCTTTGGAATATACCACTAAATTTACCCATTACTCTAGCTTTTTCCACTTCCCCTAACCCCTTTGAGCCAATCAAATCTCCTTGCCAGTTAGCAAACCTGTTTTTGTCCCTCGCCTGACAACTGTCTTGTCGCATTAAGTGATACATTTAAGGAGACTCACTTACCTTTTGTATATCGATTGTCCGATTTATTAACGACCAACAGTACCACACGCAAGCGTTTCTTCACTATGCATGGCTGCAGAAATTCTATTCAACCGAACCTTTTATCCCTCTGAGCAATTAAGCGAATGTTTTGTACTCAATTAGTTTTAGTAGGTTGAGATATTCTCACGATTGCCTGCGTTCAATATAATTGTCTTACGGTCCCTGTCTAGCTTCAGGCGAACCGTGTTTTAAGCATCAGCGTGAGTAGCTTTTTCTAGGAAACTATCAATAAAGTAAGAAAGGGAGGCTTTGCAACTCAGGGGGATGGACAGTCGAATTTAAGTGCTAGGTTTTGCCCGCTTCCAACCATGTACAGTTGAAATTGCTTGAAATTGGTGGTTTGGTCTGCACTGAACTCTCTTATGGTGCTTATTGGGAATTTGCCTTCAAATGTCATCGAAACGTTTTACGGAATGCTCTACATTCAGCGTATACATCTAGCACAATTGGTTGCAGCAATAGTGGGCTTCGCATGATAGATGATACGCGGGAAGACAGCGAGCATATTGCGACAAACCCTTATTTGGAGGGTGATTCTATCGTAGAATGGGCTGTTGCTCGGCCGATCGTTTTTACTTACATATTATGCATGTTTCCCCACCTCCACTTGAGCGAGCGGCAAGCTGACACCGACTCTTTCTGTTTGAGGGCATATAGCGGGGGGGGGGGGCTCAAATACTAGAGTTATTGTCTTTAACTTTTCATAGATAACATTCTCAGCTGGATCTTATCGGAATTCACTTTTATAGTCTGAGCAAAAACGTATGCTTCTTGAACAACGGCTACGAGCTCTGCAGCTGCATGTTGACCAAATGTCAAAGGGAAGCATTCCCGACGCTTCGAAACCACTGCAGCCGGTAACAGCTGAACTACGCGAGTTACAACAGAAGCTTCTACAAGCGGAGAAAGTGAGTTACGAAGCTCTAATTCCCCATCATTTACACTTAATTTGGCCATATCTTAACCATCCATCGGTGTTTCATACTTTGGTGTCATCTTGTTCAGCCTCATTGTGGGCGCTCAGATATAAGAGTGTTACTTCTCGAATCCCGCGTTTTAGGATCTGGTTATTGCTCGGGATCAAATTGAATCCTTGAAGAAAAGCAACGACGCTAATGAAGCACGTGTACGCGCTCTCGAAGAGCAACTGTTTCAAGCACAAGACAACCTTCGGATCGAGCAGAAAAAACTCACTACGCAGAATGACGCGATCATCCGACTGAATCGTTCATTAGAAACAGTTGCCAAGCAGGCCAAGGTAATTGTTGCACTTTGATAGTTTTTATGGCTTTCCCGCTTTTTCCTTACTGGTTTCACACTAAGAAGTTGCGCGTTTGGCATTCACTTTCCAGTCCATTTCATTTGAATCGCCTAGCAATCTGCGGAAGCATGTTTCCCTGACAATTCGGGTTTCATGCTCATTTGTCTACCTCTTTGAATTTGGTATCCTGAGGTCATTAACTGCTTACCGTTCGTCGTCTGACCACTAACTGACACTCTCGAAGACACGTCTTTCAAAAATCTTTTGGGGGTCATGGAAGATTACGGGGCATCTTGACGAGGTTTACCGCAGCCAGTCATCACACTTTCTCTTTTTGATCTCTTTAGTTTATATGGAATAACAATGGTATACATAAATGGCGCGCAACGTATCACCTAACCAAACTGCTCACCTTATCGATTCCAGCAGGTTTCTTTTGGATGCGCTACCATTACAGTGTTACTGGAGTGCCCCCAACATATTTATTGACTCCCAATCCGGTGAATGCGCGCTACTGACGATTCCCAATAGAACGAAACGGTCGTCTAACGCCTTCCTGGATTTGCGGCAGCTGTCTGACTAAATCCAACTGCGGCGAATCTTATCAAAAGTAAACAAATCTCACTGTCTTGTGGCAACTCCCTTAAAACAATCCACACTTGATAGAGCGTATCTTGACGCATTGACTGGTTTTCCCTGAAATCAACTACTTGTCAGTGCTTACGTTAGACGGGTTAATTAGCTTAATGTTTGCTTCACAATTACCTTTGAGCGTGAGCTTGAATTGTTTATCGGAAAAGCTAAGCGGCAACTACCGACAACTGCGTGTGATCGACCATTTTTCACCCATCTTGAATTGGGCGACGCTGCGATGTATTTCATTGCTTCCACCTCGAACCCAGTCCACGGGATTGTGGTCAATAAAGAGACAGCACGGCCCGCATGCCGATGCGGACACTGTCGGTTTACTTCGTTTACCAACCAATCCGGGCTGCGGCGTCTATCCTGTTTATCGACGCACTTAGCATCTGTTTCATCGGTTGTTTCTTGTAGCCTTTGGGAACAGATTTCTTTCATCATCATTCTCTGATAGTTCTTGGTCTCCGGAGTTAACGGCCAGCATTCTTAACCTGCTGATGTCTTGCAGACCGACCTCACCTACATTTCATGCTGTTATCATCACCCTCACGTCCCACACAAGCTGGTTCTCATTCACTAATTGTAGGGTCATTTTGTAGCACACGTGTGAATGGATTGCGACGCGCAATCTCGATCTTTTCCCTCTGGTTCTCATTCACTTCTATACCGATTCATGTGATGTGCTTCTTGAATTCGACAGGCCGTATGCATAACACTAACCTTAGTTTGCAGTATGAGATCAGCTGAATTTCATACACTAACATTCGTATTTTCCGGCAGCTTTTCGACCGTGTCAGCCCGTAGCCTAGAGGTAACGAGCGTGCCTCCTAATCTTGCGGCGCGTGTTCGAATCCGCGTAGGGGTGGGCGTCCTCGCGTTATACTCAGCCCGCGTTCGACTGGTGGTGGTTGCACGGCAGCGAAGCGCCGTTACGGCGTACAGCTGACACACATTTCGACCGCGTTGCATATTTTACTGAAGTTTCCGCATCCTGAGTGCAGAGTTACATGTTGTTTGCTCACTCTGGCTTATCGAGTTACTGCATTTTAGAGTTGAACACAGACAATTTCTGCCATATGATTTCCCTGTTTGTTCCACCCAGGAGGTTGAGCGTTTGCGTGAACGAGAGGCCAGAAGGCTGTGTATGGAAGTTGCTTATCAAGAATCACAAGATCAGCTGAAGCAATTACAAACGGAGTATGCTCAATTAAATGAACAGGTTCATCTTCTTGAAGGCCTTAAATTGGAGGTTGTCGAAAAGGACCAACGTTTGTCGGAGTGAGTCCTCAATTCTCACCTTCGGTTTGGCCCGATGTGGTTTTATTGTGACGAAACTGTACATTATTTCCCACGAGTGCGACGTACTGCACAACCAGAGCACTTATGACTTTGGCACCCATCCCGACATATATATATATATATATATATATATATATATATATATATATATATATATATATATATAAGGGTTAGCGGCATCCGGTTTCGGATTTGTCTGTCACTATGGCCAATCACAAGACGCCTGCGCCTACAGAGGAACCACGGGTGGCTTGCGCTGCACCACCCACAGCTCCAACCACACACCCCATATCCAGTGGAAACTCGAAGGAATAAGACCGTGAGGTACGTGGATGGGAGCCACGTTCCATCAACGGAGGCCGCCCACACTCCTTCACAGGCAAACACAAGCACGCTGTATTGGGGAACTCAAACGCACACAAGGCGGTGGCTGGACCGTCGTCCGCTCCACACTGAGTGCATGGAACCGATTTTGGGGTCTAGCACGGCCACAAGGACCGTGCACGCCGTCCCCTCCAGCAACGACCAACTGTCTCCTAGAGTCAGTATGGACGAGGTGGTGGGTAATAGACTGGTAGGCACTTTATCAACATGCACACCAAGCGCAGCCACACCGGGGCTATCAGGCAACAGCCAATCACTTTGAACGACAAGCTGAAATAAAATAAATCCAATAATGTATACAGACACGGTGGCATAACTGTTCGCTAAATTAGCATATGAAGTAAGTTGGTTAACAACGAATCCGCGATAAGGACAAATGTCCACAAGTTAGTTAAAAACTCTACAAACGTAACAAAGTTGCCGAAGATAAGCGCAATTAGTGCAAGCAACGTGGCCAGTTAATATAAGATTATTCAGTAGGCAGGATAAATCAAATAAAGTGGAATGAAATTTAACCAGCTTAAAAAGACCTAGTTTAAGTGTAAGTTGGTTTAGCCCAACTGCGGTGAAGAAGCATCAAGAATGCAACATCTGCCTCAGCATGTGGCATATATATATACATATATATATATATATATATATATATATATATATAAACATTTGGCAGTGCCACAACACAACACAGAGTCAGGAGAACGTATGCAAAGATCCATGGTTTGCGTGAACATTGAGCTTCCCGGTGGCCCAGGTCGAGGATGGGGATTGACTTAAGGGATCTAACCCCGAGGTTTTTGTCATAAAGACCTGATCCGCAGGGCGATAAACGAAGACCGTTGACAACCACGTGGCTCATTCGCCTTCATTATGTTCGGTTGCAGTCCACAGAGAAGCCGGTGGCCAGAAAGGTTGTTCATCCGCCCTGTGTTAAATACTCACCTCCGGTTACAGAAGTGAGTGGTCAATGACGCTATAGCAGGTCACATTGGCTTTGACACAGCGCCGTACAAACTCATGTGGTATTTGATGGAGAACCAGGTGACCAGCTCAGAACTCCCCACGCTCTGAGACGCTGCCGCTGATTGTCCGCGACTGCTTATTCATCTCGTCTGCAAAGCAGACGAGACTTATTCGCAGTTACCTCCACAAGGATGGCATTCTTCAATCCGCAACCAAGGGACGCGCCCGATAGCGTACAGCTCTGCCACATGATTAACTACCGCAGTTCCCAGTTACAATAACTATATACTTTTCTAGTGAGGCTGACCAATAGCTCGAGATGCCAACGGTGCTGACATTGCAAGCTGTACATTGGTTCATTGGTGTGTAGAGAGCAGGAGGGGTGACCCTTGTCAACTCCTTCGATTCCGATTCAGTGCAGGTTTGATGCAACTGGCTACGAAGCGGCATTCCTCTGGGGATCGTCGCCGTTGCAGTAGGAGCAGCAGAGCCCTGCCGTACTCATCAGATGGCAGTCATGCAGCCGTTTGCAACTTTCCTCTGTCCTTGCATCAGCAATGATCTCCGGCCGGCTGTTCCAATCATTTACTACACGAATTGATAAGGCAGCCACTGGACGGACGTGAAGTATTCAGCTCTTGTACAACTTCCACTTGTGGCCTCGTGTCGAGCCCTCCACGTTGAGCCGAAAGTGCTTTTGTATCTCACTCCCAAGTTCTCCTCTTAGGATCCGTCTGGTGTAGATAAGATCTCCACGGCGCCGACGATAATCCATTGGGAATATGTTCAGCTTTCGGAGTCGAAGAGGGTAAGCAAGATCTCGAAGCTTCATGACGGATTTCGAGCCACGCCTCTGAACTCTTTCTAGCAAGTCGCATCCAGATTTTAAGAGAGGATAAGTAGCTGGAAGCCCGTACTCCAATATCGGGCGAATATGTGATGTGAACAGAGTTCTGAAAATTGCCGGAGTGATACGGGAGAACGACCTGCGTAGAGCACCCAGCATCCTGTTTGCGGCCGCGACCTTTCTCAGGGTGTCTTGGGAAGTTCTAAGGTCATGTGACACGATAACCCCCAGACCCTTCTCGTGCATGACATTCTTGAGAAGATATCCGCCAATATGGTATACACCGAATGAATCCGGGTTACCAATCGGAAGAACAGCACATTTGTCGTAGTTAACGGGTAGTTGCCACTTGACGGACCAATGGTGCAGCTGGTCCAGCGCCGTTTGGAGTCTGTCCGCGTCCCCATACTAGCTACTTCTGACCATAGCTTGAGATCATCAGTATAGACTAAGCAGTCGGTTTGAAGAGCTGCAGCTAGGTTATTAATGTAGAGCTTGAAAAGTTCCGGCCCAAGGACAGCGTTGTGGGACTCCGCTAGCCATAGACACAGAGCCAGACAGCATTTGGTTCACATTCACCTGAAGAGTCCGATCTCTCAAGAAGTCCGCAACCCATGCAAGGACGTTTCCAGTGACGCCAATTCTCTGGAATTTTAGCAGAAGTCGTTTGTGTGAGACTTTGTCAAAGGCCTTGCTGAGGTCAATGTAGATAACATCTAGATGTCTACGGTCGTCTACTGCTTCGACCCATGCTTCTCTGGCAACAAGCAAGTTAGAGATGCAGGAGCGAGCCCTGCGGAATCCATGCTGAGCGGGGATGATGGCGCACAAGCTTTCGCATTGGGTGTGGAGGGCGCGCTTGACGATCCGTTCCATGAGCTTGCAGATCACAGACGTCAGGCATATCGGTCGATAGTTTGCAGGATCGTACAATAGTCGGATGTACTAGAATGGACATGAGTGAGCATACACAATCGTGCGCATCGTGTATGCCTCATAAACATCCTTAAGCGGCTATTGGTTCTGCAAGAACACTTTGCACTTCGAAAGTGCGAGGCGCACACCAAATAAGATGACCGCACCAGAGAGTTTATGCAGGGTTAATTGTATAGTCTCGTGTCTGTCAAACGAAAAACGATATTGTCTGCATAATCCAGATCAAGCAATTTTCCACCGGGCAGCATTTTTACGCCTCAATGTGAGATTCCGAAATGGAATATCCATGACAGAATAAGCGATGAAGTCGAGCAAAAATCTGGAAGTTTGACAACCCTGCTGAGCGCCATCTATAGTCGGGAAGGTGTTAAAAATTCACAGTACACCCTGATCTTATTTAGGGTGTTTGAATATAGGCAAAATAAATATTCTCAAATGTTCAAGAGGACATAATCTGGGGTATGTATGTCGAACGGGAGTGAACGACTGACTGGGTCAAACGCACTCTTGAAATCGAATCACGAAACTATAGTATGGTCCCGGACGGAAAGATGACTGTCTTTCCCTTATCAGCAATACGGTGATAGACAAAACTTGTGGTTGGTAGACTAGTCACTAGTGACGTCAGTCTAAAACCCAAGTGGGTAGCGTCATTGTACATGTTAGCTGCAGGTGGAAAACACCTCAGCTATTGTGCCGCAATACATAAAAGAAAAAACATGAAACAGAGGCACCCCGGCTGAGTCACCAGTAACCGACGGACATCGTTCCGGAGAGCTAACAGCCGGTTACTGTGCCGCAAAGTAGTCATATTATCCACAATAATTTAGATTGTGGTTTTCGGGGGAGGCTAAGCGGGATGGGAGGGACAAAGAAACTCACAACACAAACGCCATTGAGGTCGGTTCCTAGCCATGTCAACAAGTGTATCCAAGTGGGTAGCGCAGGCTGTGTGATTGCACCTTTTCTATATTGCCGTTACGATCGACTCATCCTAGTTATCTAGGTTGGTTTCTTTCTATACCCATTCGAACAAGTGGGTTAGTGCCTTACAGAGGACTTCACCTACCTCTCTAAATAACTCGTGCAAAGGGATCCAAACCAGCAGCGTGAAAGGGGTTTAGGAAAGTGATCGCGTTTCGGATCTTAGCCACCGATGGAGTTTCGGAATTACCTGGCCATGCCTCAGCTTACGCCACCTGAGTAGAAGCGGGCCCAGGAGCTGGGGGTTCAACTGAACCGCTCTCGGAAATGCTCAACCCAACGAGCCAGACGATATTCCTTATTGTGAATTGGTGCCCCGGTACTGTCCTTGATTGCCACAATAATGCATAGGTTCATTTGACCAGTAGTGTAGATAAGTTAGAAGAGCCTGTGATTATAGCGCACCGCGCCGGCCTCCACCATTTCATGAACCCTTCTGATCTATCACGCTTCATTGACAGCATGCAGGCTCCGAGTAAACTCGCGCTACTTGGCGCGTTTAACCACATTGTGCTCAAAGGTGGCAGGCAGCGTTCGTCCGGATTCCAACATCTTCACAAACCTTTCAGGTATGCTGTCAATGCGATTACGACTGACAGTGCTGCAAACAGCCGCACCTGAATAGTGCATGACGGCAGTGATAAAATTCAACTGTAGTTCGATGGCTGTGAAGTAAGTGAGTGAAAGCTTGGTATGCTGCACATCCAGATACTTTTATTTAACTGAGGGTTAAGACATCTCAGTCGCGAGCCAATGGAAGCGCTTGATACGTTTTTCGGCGAAATTCATGAACTTTCGGTTGCGAACCAGAGCAAAAGCAGAGACAAGACACGCGTTTCAGTAAGTGCAACTGTCCAGAGTGGAACTGCGC